ATACTTTGGTGCTTTAAAAATGGTAAATTTTATCCTCTGCATTCCTTTCTTACTCCTGCAGCTAAAACACTGTAAAGTTTACACACAGAACACTTCTTGAAGAAAGTGCTGAGTTGAGACATAGAATCCATGTGACTCAGGCTCTATCAGACTGTCCTCTGCCATAGATGAAGGCAACCAAATTGAAATGATGCACATTATTTATAAATTATTAACCAGTTCTAAATATGCTTCACATGACTGGCTTCGCTGAGGTGTTACATCCATCCTTGCAAGCTTCATAAAACAGTAGCAGGCTAAAGTTGCACAATTAACATTAATTCTTATTGAAGAGAGGACAGCCTTAGCAATTACCTTGAAAAAGATCAGATATGAAATTTCTTTATGCCGAGTTTGATGCCAAATTGAGTCACACTGTGGGCATAGATATTATATGACTTCTGCTCTTTCTGTGCACAGTGTCATCAGTAGATGGTGGCACTCTTTGCTCCTCTGACTTATGAGCCAGTGACTAAGCATTAATATTCTTCAGAACATCACATATCACTTGTTGCTACAGTTTACTTATATTTATAAGAGTTTAAATAAGTATTTAAAATCAAACTAAAACTATAGGAAATAAATGAATTTATATAAAAACCTGTCATTTCATGAATTTTTGCTGTTGCTTATCCTTGTTTGGCTATAAACATTAACAGCACTGTATGGATAATAGACAGAAAACATTCAAATACAGAATCCAATAGTGATGATCTAGTTTTTGCATTAAGATTTTAAGTGCTTTAAGTTCCTGGTACATATGTTTTTCACATTTAGTAATAGAGATAGAATTCTGAAGTATGGTTGGTACCAGAAAATTCAGGAAATTTCAAATATGGTAAGAGATTAAATATTTTAAAATGTATCTTTTATCATATTGGCATTTTCATCTTTATTTATTCATAAATATTGCCATAAAATTCTAGTCCTGCTAATTCTAATCCATTATTTCTTGAATATTATTTACATTCAATAGCAATGTTACATCTATAAACTGACCTTTTAATTAGTGAAAAAACAGTGCTACTAATTCCAAGACTGAAGTGGTGGCAATGTCATTCTGACTTAATAGACTACAATTTTATTAAATAATATAAGTGCAGTTGTCCTGGGTCAGATAATATTCAGGGTCATTTTATTAGGAAATGTTTAATGAAGGTATTAATATTTACTTGTACCCAACATCCAGCTGGAATTCCATGGTGTGAGAGCACCAGGTTAATTGAGTTTTATCACAAAATCTCTAGACTACTTAATAACTGTAATGCACATTCCCTAAGGTCTGATCTATAAGAAGTGGGAAAATAGAAGAAAAAATGATTAATGTATAACTAGATTCTGCCGACACTTTCAGCATAGATACTCATTAAAAGTTTGAGCAACTGATGAAGATTTCTCTGGAAAGAAATTATGAGTCACTTTTCCTTCCAAACACTGGACAGGAATAGGGAAAAAAGATAGATAAGTATTGATTTAGCCAATATAAACACAAGAATTTATAGGCTTTGAGTTTTCTGTAGATCTATGGTTTCCATCAGTGACCAAAATTTTTTCTTAGGAACTCACTTGTGGGAATACATCTGTCAGGGTAATAGAAGTCTAACTATTTCCTTTTCATTTTTCATGCTTTTAATTCCTCAGAGTAAAGTGAGTATTAAAATTTTGTATTTATACTTTTGCTTTGAAAGACTCTCTTCCCTTCCCTTCAATGACATCCCACTTTTCTGCTTTTCCTCTTTCCTTTCCAGGTTCCACTACCTCCGCTTTTGTTTGAAATGCTGGTGCTCCTCAGGTTACCATTTTAAACACTCAAGTTTTCATTTTACCTATTTCATTGGCAAATTTATCAATTCTCATAGTTTTTATAACCACCTATTTGTTTACCATTTAATAATCTCTCATGAGCCTTTATGTTTACAGAAGTTTATAATCAACAAAAATGTGCTAGAAGCATCTCTAGCTCTCTACTTGTCCAAAACTGAATTATTGAGCTTTCATCTCAAACATGTGCCTTTTCCTGCATTTTTACCTATCTTCTTGTGCCACAGACCATCCTCAGTTTCTTACTTTCCCTTCCTTGCCTGCAATTCAATCTGTCATTAATTTTATTTATTTCCTTCCTATACAGATGATCACCTTCTCAGTTCTGACTAATCTTTGCTTTTATTACAGTTTTAGGCTCTTGGTTAGTCTTTTTTCCTTTTGTCTTAGTCCCAATGGCACTTCAGCCAGAGTGATCTTTCTAAAATGCATATTGTTTTCTTTCCATTTTTGCATGACATACCAGGCATTTCATCATTGGTCCCTTGCTTAATTATCCAGCCTTACCTCTTCTCTCACTTGTATGCCTCTAACCCTGGGTTCCAGACTGTTTTAATCTACCAAGTATGACATACTGCCTTTTCTTTCCAGGTCTTCATATACTTTCTCCCCTTTGTATAGAATATCTTTTCTTTTCCTACACAGATTTTTGCTGAGCTAATCACTAACACGCTTTCAGGGCTCAGTTTGGATAGTATTTCATCTGAAAATCATTTTCTGATGTCCCTAGGCTGAATGAGAGGATTCTTCGGCTGTGGATGAGAGTCCATAAGTTCCTGAATTTACTTTTCTCTCACACTAAAGTTGCACACATAGTTACCTTTCTTCTCCACTAGATCATAAGCTCCTTGAAGGCTGATGCAATATAATTTTCTCTCAGAATCCATGGGGCAATTGTTCCAAGACTCCTTTGGATACCAAGATCTGAGGATGCTCAAGGCCCTTGTATAAAATGGCTTAGTATTTACATACAACTCACACACATCCTCCTGAATACTTTAAATCATCTCTAGATTACTTATAATACCTAGTACAAAGTAAATATTATATAAATAGTTGTCAGTGTGCAGCAAATTCAAGTTTTGCTTTTTGGAACTTCTTGGAATTTATTTTCCCTGAATATTTTTGATTTGTGGCTGGTTGAATCTGTGGATGCAGAATCTGCAGATATGAAGGGACAACTATATTTGTTCATCCTTATATCCCTCGCACTTATCCCCTACTGAGTTCTCATTACATGCCTTTTAAATACATGAATGAATGAATTGTTAGATTTCTAGCAGCAGCTTTGGAGTCACCTTAATTGATGAAAAAGTAATTCTACAGCAACAGATGCAATTGATTACATAACAAATGAAATTCTGTTGTGAAACATAACAACCAAATCCTAATTTGGTTCATCTCTAATTACATGGAGTGTCATAAGGCAATTATTGTACCACTTGGACAGTATGCATTTTGTTTATATATATATATATGTTTTACAAGCATGATCCTGGTTTCTTTGAACCTCATTATGGCCTTTCTAGTTTTCCATTGATTATCCTTATCTAGCTTTTAGAACTATAAGCCACATTTTAATTTTAAACACTAGCATGGGACAGTTCTGTATTTCTTTTTTATATGAGCAAGGTAGGCAGCTAAAACAAAACCAACAGACTGCACAGGGAAATGGATAGGTTCAGAGACTACAACTACAAACTACCTTAAAGGAAACTCATTCTCTTTTCATTACCTTACACCTCTAGGTGCCAAAACTTGCATTTAATTTCAGGTTTTCAAGGAGATTTTATGTCTACCCATAATCTGTTCTCATATAGCTTGCCCAGGAGAGCCTAGCTATTTTCAGTTAAAATTGATCCACCTTTACCAGACTTGTGGTTGAACACAAAGACTAAAGGACATGAATCTCTTAACAGATCCTGATGGGATTGGACTACACATATCATGCTCATTTTAAAGGTGGAGTGCATCTAAAAATATACCTTTTTGAGTTTTACAGAAACCAGATTTACAATTTCACAGAACAGAAAATGTTAAATTTGATTTGATGCTTAACACCTAAAGGGTTATTTTCAAATCACAGAAATGCTTCATGAATTCCAAAATATCTCTATGAGACAGGATACAGATTCTAAATAATATTAATTGTGAGACAGCTTACTCACAAATATAAATTATTTTTTATCCAAAATTAAATTAGCATCCATTAAGTTGAAATGTCAAATATCCTGATCAAAAATGTCTGACTCCTAAAAGTATTTCCAAAATCAACCAATTGTTGAATACAGCCGATATTAGACATAGAAAAAATCCAATTCTTAATTGTTTTTTAGAATTCATCATAATTAGTTTGTGCTTTTAAACGTTTGATCTATACACCAAATTGACTTCCCTGTGGTCATAAAGGAGAGTCAGTACAATCTACTTCAGGCACTATGCATATCTTTTCTAATGAAAAATCTTTGAAATTAAAGTAAAATATGGGCAATACATTTCTCAATAATCATTAAAGGTAGGAATTTCATAATAGTATTCCTACTTAATAATATTGTTATATAGATTATATGTAACAAACTTTACAAAACAAATTCCATCTATATATTTTTTTACATTCCATAATGAATTTGACTGCTTTTAAAGAACATGAGGCATAACTTACAGTCTAGTGCAAATACATATACTTCATTAGACAAATTTCCTACTCTATGATAAATTTTAGGTGATGAAGATCCAATCTATATTTATAGAATGTAATTGATAATGCTGTTTTCCTCTTTTTTCTCATTTTTAAATAATAAAGAACTGATTTAATGTGTGTGAATGGATATTTTAATATTAAGACCAAATATTCCTGGCACAGAAAATAAAAGAAATTAAATTTGGATGGATTGCGTCCTTCTTCCCTCCCTTCCCTTCTTCCTTCTTTCCTTCATTCCTCCTTTCCTTCCTTCCTTTTTCTCTTTTCTTTCCTCCTTTATTTTTCTTTCTTTTTTTTTTTAAATTAACTTATTTATTTATTTTTGGCTGCATTGGTTCTTCATTGCTGTGCGTGGGCTTTCTCTACTTGCGGCGAGCAGGGGCTACTCTTCATTATGGTGCATGGGCTTCTCATTGTGGTGGCTTCTTTTGTTGTGAGTATGGGGTCTAGATGTGCAGGCTCCAGTAGTTGTGGCATGTGGGCTCAGTAGTTGTGGCTCGTAGGCTCTAGAGTGCAGGCTCAGTAGTTGTGGCACATGGGCTTAGTTGCTCCACAGCATGTAGGATCTTCCTGGACCAGGGCTCAAACCCGTGTACCCTGCATTGGCAGGCAGATCCTAACCATTGTGCTATCAGGGAAGTCCCTCCTTTCCTTTCTTTTCATTCTTCCTTCATGTCTTTTTTCTCTCTTTCTTTCTTTCTTGCAAAACACCAACTTTATAACTAGTAGAGTTTTCAGAAAATGTTTTAAAATATATTTTTAATATTTTATTTTTTCCATTCCCATGGTAGTTTGCATTTCATTGCATCTCCAAGGGAGATTTCCAACAATGTCTTCAGAAGAAAAATTTTCATTAAAAAAAAACCAGTTTCCTCAGAATTCACTTTTCATTATTATTATTATTATTATTTTACAGAATATTCTGGAACTCTTCCTGGTCTCCCTACTTCATATGCTACTTTGCTAAGAATTAAGAAGAGTTCATCTTCATCCCTCTATGGTTCAAAGACTAGATCACGATACAGCAGTCCTCCATTAGGAACACTGAGTGTTTCTTCACCAAGCTGGCGAGGGGCAGCCCAACATTATTATTCCCCCATCAATCTTTATCATTCCTCAGATGCCTTCAAACAAGATGGTAAGTGTCAAAAGAAAATTGCACCTGTTGGAGTTAAGCAGGGAAAAAAAGACTTTATTCAAGACTATTGCAGTAGGAGTTAAGCCTATTGAAATAGAGGAGAGAGGTTAAACTCAACTGTGAAATAGAAAGTGAGCTTTTAAGATCTGGAAACGTGGAGGACATTAAGGAGGAGTTTGGACACTGTGATAAGGCCATCTGTGTTTACTAATTGGTGCTTATTGAAGTTAGCCTCTTACCATCTTATAGAGTCTGGGAAATAGGGACCCTCTCTTTTTTGATGATTACATTTCAAAAAAAAAATGGCTCCCAGGTCCTTGAGAAAGACATTCTTGGGTTTTAAAACTGGTAAGAGACTGGGTAAAGATTTACATTTCACAGAAGCAAAGAAGGAATTTATAACTGCAGTTCTTATAAAGTAAATGCTCTAAGAAAATGGAGGTTAGGGGACCATAGTCAGGAGGAAACCCATCAAATGTTAAGTGAAGCTGAGGAAAATGTTAAGGCCATTTTGGTCATAAGTTAGTCTTATGTTCCACACCTATTTCAAAAAAATTTTAATGTATTTAATTATAATTGCTTCCAATTCTGATTTAGGATTAAGACTAAATAAATTAATATACTGAAAGCAAAAATATTAAATTTCTGAAGGACAATTTTACAATGAAAATCAAGAGCCTCAAAATGGTCATATCCTTTAATCTCATATTTTATTTCTAGAAATGTGTTTTGCATAAGGAAATAATAAACAATGCACACAGAGATATAAGTATATACTTAACAGTATTTATGAGTAGAAAATAAGAAATAATTCAAATGTCCAACATTAAGAAATCAGTTAAATTAAGGATAACTATGTAGCTATTAAAATTATGGTTTGAACAACATTTTCTAAATGTTCTCTAACTTTGTCATTTTAGGATAAATCAACAAAACAGTACAAGGCTAATTAACAGAGAGAAGCACTAGTGTTTGATTATTAACAGGCTCTGTGCCAGTCTCTTTTGCATAGCTTATATCAATAATATTGTCAACAAACATTTGAAGTGGATATTATTACTGTCTTCTTTGGAAACGGAAACTCAGGGGGCAGATAAGTATCTTTGACAAGGTCACACTTCTAATAAGTAACAAATTTCATTCATATATCTACTGATTTTAAGTACAATACACTTTGGGCTATGTTTCAATTATGATTGATAAAAGACTAAACACTTAGAGAAACATTTTGTAAGAACTAAACTACTTGGAAAAATCTTAGAAATTTCTAATTAGGTTGTGGTACCAAACCCAGGCAAACTCATGCCTCATGATTATGTCAATTGTTGTCACGTGGAGCATCATCTCATAGTGCTGGCATTTAAATTTTATTTAAGTATGGTGTTCATTCCTTAAAATGTTTGATTTTTCAAAGTACTTATAAGTTTTTAAATTTCCATAATATATTGTGTGAAAAAAAATCAAGAGAATTAGGAGACAAGCCACAGCCTCGATGAAAATATTTGCAAAAAGGCACATCTGATAAATGACAATTATTCAAAATATACAAACTACTTTTAAAAATCAACATAAGAACTTCAACAACATGAATTTCAAATGGCCCCAAAACCTTAACAGACATGTCATCAAAGAAGATGGCAAATAAGTATATGAAAATATACACCACATCTTACATCATCACACAAATGAAAATTAAAACAACAATGAGATACCACTACACACTTATTAGAAGGGTCCAAATTCAGAACACTGAAAACACCAAATGTTGCTGAGGATGTGAAGCAACAGGAACTCTCATATCTTGCTGATGGGAATACAAAATAATACAGCCTCTTTGGAAGACAGTTTGGCAGTTTCTTATAAAACTAAACATATTCTTATCATATGGGAGAGATGGATAAACAGAGTACAGATGATTTTTAAGGCAGTGAAAATACTCTGAATGATATCATAATGATGGATATATGTCCTTATACATTTGTCCAAATCTATAGAATGTACAACACCAAGAGTGAACCCTAACATAAACTATGACTATTGGTTATTATGATGTGTTAATGTAGGTTCATCTTTGGCAAAAATGTGAGTGATGTTCATTCTGTGAGTGATGAATCATTCTGGTGAGTGATGTTGATAATGGGAGAGGGTATGTATGTGGGGGGAAGGGAGGTAGATGAGAAATCTCTGCCTTCTCATTTTGTTGTAAATTGCTCTAAAAAATAAATTCTTTTTAAAAAATCCACTACATTAACTCTAATGCCATACTCATCAGGCAGAGATGTGTTGGGATTTGTCTTCTTTAGGCCTCATTCATTATTTTATAGGATGACACCAAGAGAGAATGTATTGATTGAGTGATCAGAACTATGGGATACTATTGCATTTGGTATAATTTGGTATCACCTTGTGTTCTACTCCTTTGTTCTCTTGTTCCAAATATAAGTTAATGTGGTTTGCAATGATACATAGAATACAGCTAGAAAATGTGAATTAAAACATACAACAATGATGAAAACAGCAAATATTGAGACATAAAATGGAGCCAGGTTTGAGACTAATTCAAAGTGTCTGTATGCCTGTCACAGGTTAGTCCAATTTGTAGTAATTAGTTACAGAAAAATAAACTCTGATCAGTTACACATTTCCCACTCTTAAGGATTAAAATGAATCAGTTACTCAGTAGAAATGCAGCTATTTCTGATGCTAGATTAGACAAATCTTTCTGGAAGGTCCTCATTAACAATTTAATATTTGATGTAATGGTCAATGACCTGAACATTATTGTTATTGTGTACATAACAATGAGTTTCATCTGCTTCAATAAAGGCAGATGAAACCCAATCATCAACAACAAAATTAGAAGCAATTATCTAAAACTGTGCTCTTCCTTTAATCTTTAATATACATACAATCACTTGAGAGTCTTGTTAAAATACACCCCCTTTCAACAGATCAGGAGAGGAGGGCCATATAATCTGCATTTATAAAAAGCTTCCAGGTGATGCTTACGCTGCTGATCCATGAACCATACTTTGAGTGGCAAGGCTCTAGGCTAGGGAACAGTTTGATATAATTTAAGTCCTTTGCTGCTCTAGTTTAATCCATCTTTAGAGTATCAGGCAGAATGGATTGTCTGAGTATTTTCCAAGTAATCTTCCATAAGTATTGTTTTCCCATCTCTTGGCTAGATGTGACTTTGAGTTTGTTCTCTCTGACAAGAGCCTGACATACAGCTTTTGTCAGGTAATTCCCTTTAGCCTTAATAGAGAGTAAAGCTGGAGTTGACATGCTCTTGTGAAAAATGAGAAAACTAACAGAGCCTGAATAGAAAGTTATCCCACTTCTCAGAGTGAAGCCCAAAAGTACCCCTGATAGAGTTAAGATTTTTCTGAGAAACATAAAAGTGTTGTTTGCAGATCAATTTGGGAAAGCAATTTTACTTCTGTATGTAAAACCTGGAGAAATTCTCCCACACATGCACAAGTAAATATAAAAGTACTTCACTGCAATGTAAGTTTAATAGCAAAAAATTGAAAACATCTCACATGTCCATCAGAAGGGGAATGGATACATAAACTGTGTTTTTCGTTCATTGAAAAATTAAGAATGTTAAAGTGAATAGACCATATCTTTATGAAACAAAATGGATATACCTCAAAATATAATAGTTAGTGAACAAGGAAATTTACAGAATATTACATATGATGTCATTTATGTAAAAAAATAAAATATAATATTCATGGATAACTATATATAATACAATTTTTAATATATGAACTTGAGACAGCAAGCGACTATAGCATTTACCTCTGAGGACAAAGGGAAAAGGAGAGCAGGTAAATGGTACCAGGATAGGGAAGACAGATGACCTCAACAGTGTGATATTTTATTTCTTAAAATATAAAATATGAAAGTAATATGGTGACACCTGTAGTAGGCAGACTATAAAACAGGTCACAGTGATTCCCACCTGCTGGTATTTACATGTAATCCATTTTCTTCCACTGTGGGCTGAAGCTAGTAACCTGCTTCTGGAGAATAGATTATGACAAAAGTAATGGAATATAACTATATGACTTCCAACATTAGGTTACTAAAGACTCTGGCTTTCATCTGACTTCTGTTCCAAAGGAAAATGCTTAATTTGGGCCTGAGTAAACAAATCTTGACTGATTATAGGGACTAGATGCCTAAAAAGAGTACCAACCTGTTGAGATAATTGCAAGATAACACAGAAAAATAAAATAGATGAAACTTATAAAGAAAACCTTAAAATCATAATATTGTGAGAAGAATGCTCTGTAGCAAATATAGAAGTATGGTGAGGACATCAACAAAATGAACAAAAGTTATATGTTTATTCTCACAACCTTTGTAGGTCAGGAAGACAGATGTGGTTTAACTTGTCCACTGGTTCTGTGTCTTTCACAAGATGAGACTCCTGTTTTATCTCAAGGCTCAAATAGGTACAGATCCACTTGTAAGCTCACTTACCTCAAATAATTATTCACAGGACTCAGTTGATGAGGGCGGTTGGACTGAGTGTCTCAACTACTCATTGGCTTTGGTCAGAGGTCATTCTCAGGGAGCCTCTCTATATGGTAGCGCAAAACATGGTAGCTGATTTCCGACAGCAGGAGCAAGTCGGAGCAAGAGAAGGCAAACAAGGTGGCTACCAGAAAAGTACAACAGTGAATCATTGAAATTTGGTTGAGGTGAGGAAGTAGAGCCAGGGAAATAAATTTAAAAATTTGAGCTGGACTCAAGAAAGGGAGAAGAGAAACGGAGAGTAGCTGAAAGAGAGAATGCTGTTCATTGGAGCTGAGCAATCAGAGAAGTCATCTGATTGTCATTTTTCTTTCAACCTGATATTGTTATTTTGGATAATGACTATGATCACTTCAAATTATGCCAGTGAAATGTTCCCTATACCAAGAAGTATTATGTAGTTTAAAAAAATTTAGTTGTTAATAGTTACTCTAAAGTCATTGTTTGAATGC